TTCCCATTAGCTCTCCCATTTTTGGATCTGTTCCTCTATTAGAGATAATGTTTTTCTGCTTCTTTGCACGCCTAGTAAGTTATGATTAATTGCCATAATTTTTTCATTATGAGTGTTGGATGCTGGATTTTGTTATATTCCTTTAAATAGTGGTATAATTTATTCTGCAGAGAAGTATACTTCAATACACAGTAAAGCTCTTTGAAATAAGCTTGATTCATTCAAGATTCACTTTTAAACTTCTTTTGGGACAGAGCTAGATAAAATGATCAAACTTTCCACTTTGCCTGGGTCTAAGGAAGTTCCCGAGACATGAGACCCAGAGTTTACAATTGGAACCGATGGGCATCTGAGAATTAGTACTGGTAATTCTAATGCTGGGAAGGCCCAAAGCAAAACAGGACAAATGTGCCTTCCTAGACCCAGAGCATGCTTTAATCCAGGAATAATTTAGTCCTAGTACTAAACTTTGAGTACCCTACTCATATTACAAGGTCTCTATCCTCTAACCAGTGAGAACTTGAACTACTTCTAGACTTGTCTAGATTCTAGAGATTGTTGAGCCTGCTAATGATGGTTTTCTCATTGATCTTATGAATTTTCTTTTCTCTCCTCCTAATGTTACTACTTCCATCTCCATACACAGAAACAACAATTTCCTAAGAATGTGAAACAAAAGTTTCCTTTCAGGCATGCTCAAATCAGTMCTCAGCCAAAGACCTGCACCTCTCCATGCAGAATTCAGTTTCTGTGCTGTTCCATCTTTCCCTGTACTTTTTCCTGYAAATCCTAGCTGTCATGGCTCCTCTGAACTTCAGTCTCTGTATGCTCAACTCAGTGAGACTGAAGAGTTCTGTTTGCATTCTCCCAAGTCCCTCTTCTTCCTGGAAGCTGCCTCTAGGCAGTCATCTAGGGGAATCATGGGGATCATTTAATTTGCTTCCTTTTTGTAGAAATTGAAGTCCTGAAATGCCTATTGTATAATGGCTGAAAACCGATGCTTAACGGACTTTGTCTGGTTTCCTCCTTGCTTAAGATGGGGGTTCAAATAGAGTCAATCTGTAAACAGAAGTCCTTGTGCATATTCTATGCCTTAATATATTTTTTTTAAATTTATGTGTTTTAAATACTTGAAGTAGTTGCTGTTTTTCTGCTTACACAATTTTTGATGGTTTTGGTTTATTCTCACGAAGACAATGAAATATTTGAAAATACTTATAACAGCTATTTACAGAGGCCTTCCTATGTCTCAGTCCTGGGCTGGTTGTCTCATAATCATAAATCTTMACAAAAATTTTGAAGATGAATTTATTAATACCATTGCCTCTATTCCAGAGACGTCCAAACTAAGATTCAATCTGTAGGATTTCATTTTTTTCATAAGTAGAAGTCCTTATGCAAGTTAGTAACTTGCCTAAACTTACAGTCCCTAAAATGTAGTATCTAAAAAGATACCACACCTAACCCAGCTGGAGCTAAAACAATATTGAGGTCAAGAGGTTAACTCATGCAGGAAATTTAAGTGATTCTGACCATACTGCTTTATGGTTTAAGTAAACAGCTGATTTATTATGGTGTGTGTGAGAGAGAGCAAGACAGACACAGGTGGACAGAGAAAGGATACATGTGCATAATGATGTGCCTCAGTGCCTGTGTTTGGTGCAGCGACTGAGGGAGCCTCGCCCTGTCGCATTGATCTTCCATGAGTTCTGGTGACTTTGCACACAACACCAAAGTTACATGAAGTTACATTCATTTTCCAAAGTTGCTGAGTTAGTTTCCAAGGGCTGCCATGACACGTTAGCACAAACCAGGTGGCTTAAGCAATAGACATGTATTCTCTCTGGTTCTAGAGATTACACACCCTAAATTAAGGTTTCTGCAGGACTGCACCCCATCTGAAGGCTCTCAGAGAGAATCCTTCCTTGACCGCCCCGCCCCCCGCCACCAGCCTCAGTGGGTCCTGGCATTCATTGGCATTGATCCAATTTCTGCCCAATTTTCACATGGCCTTTCTCCCTATGTCTCTCTGTCACCCTCCCTCCTGTCTTCTAAGGACTTGTCATTGAATTTGGGTGATTCAACTTCAAAAACCCCRTTTAATTACATCTTAATTACTTCTCCAAAAACCCCATTTCCAAAAAAGAAAACCAAAAAACCAAAACAAAAACAAAAAGCCCTCCCACCCCAAGGCATCAGAGGTTAGGACCTGAACACATCTTCCCAGGAACTACAATTGGGTCCACTACAGTTTCTACGGGGGCTCTGAGACCCTTCCAAAGTGGCTGCTCTTTGAGATTCTACCAGGAAAACCAAGTTATTTTGAAGAAGCTGCTTGGGTCCTCTGGTTCATTTCCGTAGCTATTGAAGTCTTTAGAAGTTAAATTCAGAGGAAGGGCGTACTTCTTTACCACCTCAACTGTCTATGCTTGACCCAGCCGAGGCCTGCTACTCTGTGACCCCAGCATCTACTACTCTAATTATCCATAAACCACGGATGGAAAAGAACCCCGCACAACTAGACCTGAGCAAGACGGGCCTCCAGCTTTGCATATTCCACCCAGAGACGACCCTGCATTCGGGCGGCAAGACAGCCCCTGGGTCTGCACCGTGGTTGGCAGGAGATTCTACTCCCCACGATTCTGATGAACTTCCTTTCCTCATGGTGACCAGCTCCCCTGTTTTGCAGGCTTCTTCTAACTTCTCTTYTCTGCCACCCACAAGCCACAACTTGTCTTCACCCTTCTTGGTGATCTTGCCAGGGAAGTAGCTCCAGCAACATGGGGCTGAATCTGCAAAGCGTCAGGCGTAATAACCAGGTCACTGGTTACCACCCTGAACTCTTTTCTTTTCACCTTGCCACAGCATAATGAGATTATTAATTAGAGCGAGGGACGTAAGTGTTCCAGATTTCCTTCAATGCCCTGGTGGAGAAGGCTAGGTCTTTGGTCATAATTCCTGTTAAATGATTCCATTTAAATCACTATGAAAATCATATTTACCTTCAATGCAAACTTATCTTCCCTCTTTAAATGCATTATTTCTAGGTCTCTAAAATTTCCAGTTATGATCTACCTAGTGCCCCATTCAGCGGRACAGCTTGGGTATGCAGTGTAAAGCACAGTATCAACAGGCTCTGCAGTGTAGCGAGACCCTGAATCAAAATAAAAAATACAAAAGGGCTCGGGATGTGGYTCCGTGGTTAAGTGCTACAGGGTTCAGTGCCTGGTACCTCCGACGCACCCCACACCCCCCAAAACCTCACAGGCTCTGAAGCCAGACTGCCTGGGGTTGAATAGCCGCTCCTGCTCTCTAGTGTGTGACATTGTAGAAGTTACTGATGTCTCTCTGCCTTGGTTTTCTCATCTTGAAAACTGAGGATTCAATGAATTCATGCATGTGAACGCTGAGGCCAGCACAGGATTCATATATGGGAGTGGTTTTGTGTAGTCACTAAGTCCAAATCCTGCTTTTTGCACCACTGTGCATAAGTTTGGGGAAATGCCCTTTAGATGACGTCATTATTGGCTAACTTGTCACCTCACATGCTGTCTTCAGGTACAGTACCTTTGAGTGTGACCTTATTTGGAGATGGGCCTTTTAAAGAGGCAATCAAGTCCAGGTGAGATCATTAAGGTGGGAGTGTGTACCTGTGTGACTGACATCCTTAAAGGTGGCTTTGGACACAAGGACATGCATAGGAAGATGACATGAAGAGACAAAGGAGAAAGATGGTTCTCTTACAAGCCAAGGAAAGAGGTCTGGCATAGATCCTTCCTTCACAAGCCCTCAGAAGACACCAACCCTACCAGCACCTTGTCTTTGAACTTCTAGCTTCCAGACCTGTACACAATGAATTTTTGCTGTTTAAGCAAACCAGTGGTGGTCCTTTGTTACAGCAACCTTACAAAACATACAGCTGATTGTCACAATGAATCTCCATCTCAGGGTCATATGATGTGGTCAGAGGAATAAATTCCATGGATTCTGATTGAGAGCAACATATGCTCAGTAATGTTTGCTCAAACAAATAAGTATGCAAAAATATGGAACTGCAAATCCAGAGGCAGGACCATTGTCCATGAAGGTCAACAGGATTCCCCATCTCTTGCCCCTGTGTCTTTCTCCCTATCTTGGTGACAGTGATATCTCTCTCTCTCTCTCTCTCTCTCTCTCTCTCTCTCTCTCTCTCTCTCTCTCTCTCTCTCTCTCTCTCTCTCTCTCTCTCTCTCTCTCTCTCTCTCTCTCTCTCTCTCTCTCTCTCTCTTCTTCCACACTCCACTGTGGTTTCCTATTGTTCTCCGTTTGCAGCCAGCAGGAAACATGGTCTTAAATAGCACCCAGGTTTGTACAGTAAAGAGACAACCACCTAGAAAGAACCTGTGTGGAGCACTCAGCACTTTCAAGTTCTCAGGGAGGACCATCTTATTCCTCCACCCTGGTCCGATGCCCACCCACCCACTGTGGCCAAAACGGCAGCTTGTCAGTGCACAGGCACAGAGCCATGTGGGTGGAGGTGAGAGGGTCATTACCAAGAAAGGGACAACAGGCAAATAACTTGAGGAAGGCTCTGTGACCAGAGATAAGTTATCATGGATCTGTGACCCAGCACCCCTGTGCAGCATGAGCCAGAAGAAGTCCAGCCAAAACTGGCCCGTTAACAGCATTTGGTCATTTCCTGGTCCCAGAGCTACAGTGGCCTCTTCTCCCTTCGAGGAGGCAGAAATGAATCCTGGTTAAAATTATGGGTCTTTGAATCAGAGGTTCACAGGTTTGGGTCCCATTCTGCCTTTGGTTCACTGTGTGATCGTGAGCGTGTCACCAGGACACTGTGCAGCTCAGCTTCCTCATCTTTCAGAAATGAAGCTGGAGGCAGCTTTGCTAAGACTGAGCTGGAGCTTAATGCGCATTTCCCACCAATACCCCCACCCCGGGCGCGTGTGAGCAGCTGTGCAGCATCGGGACTCAGTGGGTTCTCTTCTGTTTGCTCTCTCCCTCAGGCAGAGTTCTCGGAGTTGAACCTGGCTGCCTACGTCACCGGGGGCTGCATGGTGGACATGCAAGTCGTGAGAAACGGGACCAAAGTCGTGAGGTAAGCAAGACAGAGGTGCGGAAAGCCTTCCGACAGGTGCACACGAGACACCTCCCATCGCCCACTCTACCTCCTGCCGCCACCTGACTCCCCACCAACCGTCCTCTTCCATGCAGAAGGTCTGTGTCCAAGGAGGTGCTTTGACTAATGGCACAGAGCACCTGGGGAGCGCCTGTGAGGTCCAGGATTGGGTCGCAGGCTGGGAGTGGAAGGACGTGGGTTCTGTTTCCAGCTTTGTGACTCTGTTCTGTCAGATATTTAGTGTCTCTGAATCTCAGGTCCCATCTGCAGCACAGCAACAGCCACTCTCAGGTCAGAGGCTGCTGGAGTGTGCACGGTCTCGGGGGTGGGAGGGCGACCCCATCACTTTAAGGGTTTTGAGGATGCATTGGATCCTGCTTCCAGCAGCACCGCAGGCTGAATGCTCAGGTCTGAACAGGACTGGCCGTAATAGTTTCCAGAAGTCTATTTGTTCTGTATGCCGAGACGGGGAGGAAATGAGGGAACTCTTCAGAAGCCAGAAATGACAAGGAAGTCGAAATCCACCMGAGAGATGAGTCCGTGTACGAATACGGTGCTCTCTAGTGAAGTCCCCAGAGAATGGCGCCTGCCAGGTTGTGTGAGGGCTTGAGGAGGCAAGACACAGCATCAGATCCGGGGAAGCGGGGAGACCGGAAACACTCTGGGGGAAAGGTGGCATTTGTTCCAAGTCTCGTCGAATGTTAGGACRTGAGTGTCTCAGGCTGGGGATCGGGAAATGAGGAAGGCGTTCCAAGAGTAGGAAAGAGCCTCTACAAATAACCCAAAGAGTGGTGCTTGCTTGGGAAATTATGATTCTCCATCATTTATTGAGCACCTACTGTGGTGCCAAGAAAGACTTCCAATAATGGTGGGCTAGATTATTTGAACCCACTTTTCCACTGAAAACAATGTAAAACTGGTTTTCAGTAATTATAGTTTACAGCCCTTCAAGGGGCTGGCCCAACAATAGGAATTACCAAAAAGAAATGATAAAACGATGGAAACCCAGGGAGATAAATGAGTTTATAAAATCAGCTGTCTTCTGAGTGTAGTTGTTAAGTCAAGTCAATTTTTCAGCAAGATGTGACAACCTAGGGAGGAAAAGGGAGCCGGAAACCAACCCCAGGGCCACCCGTAGCGTGGACTGTAATGAGAGACCCTCCCCACAAGAAGCTAAGACCCCGAAGGACCGCATCTTCAAAGAGAACGCAGGGATCATAAGTAGATGAGCCCTCAAAGTAATTGTGAGTTGAACTGCAGTTTGAATCGCCTGGACCTTCCAGAAGTTAAAGTTGGTTCATGGTGATCGCAGACACCGAGAAGTCAAAGCAAGTCCTAGGTCGGGGGAGGACCCCTTCATCCTGGACTTGATACCACAGTTAGCACACAGTCAAAGGTAACCAGGCACGGGTGCCAMGGATTAGGAGAAATGAAACAAGGGACCATAGAAACGCAACCTCGGAGACACCAGATACTGCACGGTCAGACACAGATTAATAAAAGAAAAAAAAATAGATGATAGGCAGAAAATATTTGATCGGGCTTGAAAATATCTGCTGGAAAGAGCGAGCATTAAAGTGGCCACCGGTTTAACAAGAAACCAACAGAACTTCCAGAAATGAAAAAGACTATAATAACCCAAATTACTGGTGTGTTGTGTTAAACACAGCTGAAAAAAATTATCCTGAAACAGGCACAAAGAGAAAAAGATTGGAAATGCAGAAGAGATGGCGAAATCCCAGGAAAAGATAGAACCGCCRTTTAATCACAGTCTCAGAAAAAGAATAGAACAGAGCAGCTTTCCAGGAAATGATTCTTTCAGAAAGATTCCAAACTTCCCAAGCAGAAGCTCACAGACAGTGGGAGACGAGATGGGTCAGGTTCTGTTATGTGCACGTACGAAATAATCCCGTGGTGACRTAGGATTAGAATGCACCATTAACATTTTTTAAAAGAATTCTATTTCATGGTGTGTACTTTTAGAACCACAATGTAACTAACTTTGGAAAGATAGAGAAAAATACCTTAATGGTAGAGGAAAAAATATTTCTTGTATTGTATGACAGAGAGCTTCTGAGGGTCACAGTAAACTTACCTTCAGTGTGTTTAAAGAAATTGACTCTGTCCTCAGGAAAACATCTTTTATGAAGGATGACAAAATACAAACATTCACAGACCAAAAGGAGACCCAYGCTAGGGTCACTCTAAAGTATGTCCCTCAGGCCAAAGGAAAATGACCCTCGGGTAGCATAGAACTATAAGAGGATGTGAAGAGGTGGAAAATGTTTAAAAACCATGCTTCCAAAGGACAATAACAGGAAGATCTTATGAATCTGAGAAACATGAAAGRTTAAAATACACAACACTGAGTTAAAGGAGACCGGGAGGGTGGAAGGAATTCAGGTCCGAGACCCTTCTATTGTCAGGGAAGAACGTCAGTGTGTTGATTAATAATAGGCTCTGATGCAAATTTAAAGACGCATGAGATCATTTTAGCGTAATTATTTAGAAATAGAAATAGGATGTAGTGCTTCAAAACCAACACAGAAAAATGTTACAAATATGTAATGCAATAAAAGAGAGTTGGCTTAAGCACAAACTTATCAGCAGGGATGATGTTCTGAACTTCTCATCCAGCAGGACTAGTTATTAAAATGTCAGTTTTTTATATAAGCTGGTAAATGATCTCTCCTTTGGGTATCTTCCACTGCCCTCACCCCACCAACAGGCATAGCCATGGAACAGCTGTGTCCCCTAATCTACCATAGTCCTGTTTCCAAATTCCATACCCTTGCTCCTTTCTTGTCCAGAACTCGTAGGGGAGCCGTGTCCTCAAAGGCAGTAGAGAACCCCAGAAAGCAAATACCTGATTCCCCAAGTTTCTTCTAGGCTTGTGAGTATCTCTGCATCTCCTGGAGTCGCCCTCTCATGGTCACTTGTGAGAACTGCAACCCCTGCAGAGGAGTATTTAAAATATTTTGGTCACCAGYGTACATTAATAATTACATTAAATATAAATGAACTAAATGATCAAATTAAAGAATAAGGTTTCCATGGAAAATTTTTAAAAACCTGACTCCATTCTATACAAGAGATTAATTTAAAATGTAAGATTACAGAAAATTTGAAAGTTAAAGAACAGAGAAAATACCTCACATAACTACTAGGCAAAAAGAAAGCTAGCTAATGCAGCTACATGAATATTGGGGGAAATAGACTTCCAGGTGAAATGAATTACTAGGGGAAAGAAAGTAATGTCATGATAAGGGGTTTATTTACTGAGAAGAAATAATAATCGAGTTTATCAGCACCAAATAAAAGTATGCTAAATAGGACTTAAAAATTGATGAGACTTCAGGAGAATTAAGCAAAGTCCACCATCACGGGATACTTTTGAGAATGATGCTAGATATAGACATTCTTGTTCTTCTCACACTCAAGAACTGTAAAAAAAAAAATACTATTTAGTGATCTGTATGTATGTGCTCATATTCGATATTTTGTACTTATGTCCCAGTAATATAATTGGGAGTCTMATATATATTTGGGAGTCTCCTTCTTTGGAATATAGAGGAAATGAGACTATCTATCCCATTAGATTTCATATTTGGTTGCAGATTAGAAGCACCTGGGACTTGGTTCAGAATTTTGATGCCTAGGCAATACTTCAGGCCCATCACAGTGGGACTCCTGAGAGTGAGATTAGTTCCCCCAATTGGGCAGCCAAGATGGGAAACAKTCCCAGCTTGTTCCTGTGGTGACCTTGCTCTGAGGCCAGGTGAGGATGCTTCTGGGATAGGCTGTCTGGACACAAGAATCCCTTTACAAAATCAGTCTTATTCCAGGCCTACCGACTCCTTTCTGAACTTCCATATTGTTTACAAAAATGAATTTACCGAGATATTCCAGATACTTCTTAATCAGCTCGTCTCCCAGTATTTAAGAATGGCAGACTTTGAAGGTAGTTTGTCGCATGTTGAATTGTGTCTGTCCCCCCCAAAATAATGGGTTCAAGTCCTAACCCCTGGTACCTGAGAATGCGCCCTTATCTGGAAATAGGGTCGTTTCAGATGTGGTGAGTCAGGATGAGGCCCTACTGGAACACAGTGGGTCCTTGATTCAGTAGGACGGTGTCCTTACAAGGAGAGAAAAATGGGGGCCCAGTCATGATGGGGACAGACTGGAGTGACCCATCTAGAAGCCAAGGGGAGCCAAGGATCCCCTGCAGCCACGGAGGGCAGGAGACCGTCCTGCCACACAGTCTCCCTCAGGGTCCTCGGAAGGAACCACATCTGTGGAAGCTTTGATTCTGGACTTCTGGCCCCCAGACCTGTGAGGGAATAAATTGTTTTAAGCCGTCAAGTTTGTAGCATTTTGTTAAAGCGCCCTAGAGAACTGTAAATACGGCAGCGCTTCTCGAATTTTAACGTGCAGACAAATCTCCTAGAGATCTTATTAAAGGGCAAAGAATAATAACAGTGATGATGATGATGATGATGATGATGACGATGACGATGATGATACAGGTTCCTGTCCATCAGATCTTCAGGTAGAGCCTGAGATCTGAACTTCCCATGAGCCCCCCAGGGAGGTGAAGGCTTCTGGTCCTGCAGACTCCAGTTAAGCCATGTGGACATGGACGAGCTCTCTGATGCAATGGGTGGAAGGCCACGCTTTGAGTAGCTAAGGCTGTGAAGGCTGGCAGCCCGAGGTTCAGAAAATCAGACTTCTAAAACCAGGCATGCACACCAGGGGGCCCCCAGTCTGATCCCACTGTGTCCTGCAGGTGAGGAATCAGTAGACTCTTCCTGGGGGAAATAGACTACTTGCCCTAGCAAGCCGCTGTGGTCTCCCACGTACGAATGTGGATCCTGGTCTTCACTTGCACAATATTCTTCCTAAGACACTTTGGTGTTTTATCAACAATGCCCCCAAAGCATCCCCAAATGTGCCAGGCCTGGATCTTCTCCAGTTTTGCC